AACAACAAGGTAGCAGCGGTGACAGTTGACGGCAGTTGTGTCGTTCCGTCGTTGATTTATTTACTAGATTTGAGACCAGCGGCGGTCAACAATGAATCTGAAATGAAAAAAACCTTGATGACATGGCGGTAGGTGACGTAGAAGATAGGCTAGGAGGCGTTTGTTTGCACATGGCGTTTGGTCACTATTTTATTAAGAAAAATTGATTTGGTTTGTTTGTTAAAAGGGATAGTACAAGCTATTTTAGTTTTAAATTTAAATTGTTACAATATGCAGATTAATAATCAATTGATAATTATATATACATATTAAACTTGGACAATCGTCAGAAACAGTACCTGACCAGGGTTAGGTCAGGTACTTTTGATCAGGTTACCCTCCCGGTTAGTTTGACCCTCCACCGTCTATCCTTTATCTCACCGCTCTTCTTCTCCAATCATATTCAATCGCCGACCCAGCTGATTCTACAACATAAGACCGCTTTCTCCACCGTCTTATCTCATCTATTCGTTTTTCCTATCACCGCCTCCATCACATTTGGGCTCAATGTTGTAACGGTGTTGGAGGGGAGCTGGTGAGAGTCGCGACAAACCGTACCGCTGAGACCATCGTCACCCTATACGCCGTCGGTCACCACCACCGGTCCACCACCATGTCAAGTTTCTCTCTTCAAGCTTCTTCAGAATCGTCCACCGCCTCATACATACCTTCAATTTTATACTTCCTATTTTGCTCTAGACCTATCGACCCCATTCCTTAATGTGTTTCTTCATTCAATTACTATGTTCTCAGGTTTATGGTTCGAATTGAGTTATATTGTTGATATAGAATCCAACCCTAACCTACAGTATAAACATGTGTGAACTATAACAAAAATAAATTGAATGACATAACAATTTGACAATTTTATTAATGTTTGGTCGTTACCTCAAAGTTGTTTAGTTGTAAGAAATCATCACTAACCTGACCGGATACTGCCACTATTACCTCCATCAGCCACCCCCGTCGGCAGCTGCGGTTTCGCTGCCATAGACCTCAAAACAGCACCTCTTGATACTCCAGAACCACATCAAGCTTCATACTCCATGGATGTAATCAGAGATGGAGGAAGGAGAACCCAGATGGCCTTCTTCAAAGTTTACTACTCCGGTGGCGAAATTGAAGACCATCAACCCATATTTCTAAAGTAACACGTTTGTAGAAAACAAAACAAAAATCAAAGAATACATACCTATATTTTCTCTCTTCAAGCTTCTTCTGGTGAAAGAAATGTTTCCTTGATTCTTTGAAAAGTTGTTTCCCAAGAAAATCCCATATTTTCTTATGAAAGAGGTTTGATTTCTCATTAGTTATATGATAAACCATCTGTTTATGAAAGGTTGAGTTATCTCAAGAAAATCCTATATTTTCCTAAATGTTGATAGTTGATTATCCATACGCGAGTATCTACCATACTCGGACAACAGTTTTCTTTTCGAAGCTCTGGTTACACCCAGAGGAGTACATTAGCCATATTTTCGAAGCTCTGGTTACACCCAGAGGAGTACATTAGCCGTATTTTCGAAGCTCTGGTTACACCCAGAGGAGTATATTGGAAAAGTAAATTCTCGTTACCTAAGTTGTGAGTGTCATAACCGTACTGAGACTAGATAAGACGCGTAAATGGGCCAGTATCTTTTATGACTTTGTCACCCCTGAACCAAATGGTTCCGGTGTAGCTAGGTGTGGGATAGTCAGTCCCATATAGATCTATACAAAATAGTCACGCTCTCCCTCCAAGAGATTCTGGTTATAAGTCGTAGTCCTCCACTCACGAATCCGGGGGAGTGTTACCGAGGACATGTCTCAAACTTAACCTAACGAACTTACAAATAACAATGTTGAAAATCCTGTTTATAATTTGCGTGAATCCTTTATGAAATAATACATATTTTATGATAAGGTTCACAAGTTCCTTGCTTTAGATTTGAAAACTGTTTCTACGAGTTGATTTCTAAATCGAGTGGTAAAACGGTTTTCTGTGTTTGAAAGCATACTGAACATGAAATTATTTTAAACAAAATAATATATTTGAGCACAAGTTTCCTTGTACTTTTGCTTGTATTCCCCCCCTGAAAACATGAAAAACTCGGAAAAGTATAGGGGTATGAACTCACAGTTTATCGTAGGATCCGAAAGCACAATTGGTTACGAGTGTTGAGTGTCAACCGATTTTCGTACACGAGTGGATCCTATTAACATATGATAACACATATGTGTGTTAGAATTAGGGTGTTTCATGGCTAAACATGACGGGAAATCACCCTAAAGACTTGGAAATGCTTGTCGGGACCCTATATGATCAAATAAGGGAGGTGTACGGCCAAAAGAGCGCGTGTGCGGCCAGGCTGCGTGTGCGGTTGCACACAAGGAGTGTGCGGCCGTACAGAGGGTGTGTGTGGCCGTACACAGGAGTGTACGGCCGCACACTCCTCATTCGTGTCCGAAATGTCGATTTTGAGGTGTTTTTGAGGTGTTCTTGTGCTAATACCATGTCCAACTAGTGAATGAAGGCCAAACTCTTCACTTTGGAGAGCTTTAAGGTGTGTGCGGCCACCTTATGAAGGTGTGCGGCCGTACACCTTCAAAGGATGAAGAACACGAAGAACACAATGAGTTTTAGGCTTAGATTCAGGTGTCTTACCAAGATAACAAGCTGAAAGATGAAGTGGTTCGCGTTTTTGAGGCCTTTAGAGTGTTCTTGGGTGAAGTTCTTAGAGAAAGAAAGTAGTAGAGTGCAGCCAAAGGAAGGAATGAGTGAAGGGGGTCTCCTTATATATATAAGGGACGAGTGTGCGGCTGGGGGATGGGTGTGCGGTCGCACACCCGTGTGTACGGCCGTACACACCTCTCATGAGGGTGTATGACCCGATTTTGCTTCTAAACGACATGTTGACTCATTCCTAATCTCATTCCCAACTGTACTCAAGCTTAAAACACTTAAACTAGCTCTTAAACGGAGTTAAAAGATGATAAAATCGAGTTTAATATTGCTATAAAGATCGATTGTATAGGATAAAAGTTTCGGGTTGTCACATCATCCCCCCGTTAGAGGGAATTTCGTCCCGAAATTCGAATATAGAATACAAATCATGGATTAGAAAAGAGATGCGGATACTTCTAATTTAACCATAATTTAATGTGTTTATAAAAAAAATAACTCAAAAACATTGTTTTAAGCAAAAATAATCATGTGGTCCGAAATGGACATTCTAGATCAAGAAAAAACACGCTTCATGGCAAAAAAAAATAATAATAAATAAAAAATTCGGACTGACATTCTGGATTGTAAACAAAAATTTCAGATTTCGGAAAAAAAAATTTCAAGAACAATTCCGGAATTTTAAGAAAAAAACCATTTTTACATAAATGTAACAAAAGGTTAAACAAACACAGTAACTATATATGATATTAATACATAAAATCATACATTTTATTGTTTAACAAAAACAATTCAAAAGTGACATTTCTGCCATAAGTGTAGATATTTCTTTCAATAAAAAATTTGGAAAAAACCAAAAAAATAACTCCGAAATTTGAAGAACAAAACGAAATAAAACATTTCTTTGCAAAAAAAAATTGAATAAAAAAGAACTCCGAAATATGAAAAATAGTTTGGAATGAGACATTCGTGAGAAAATAATTAATTTTTAAAAACTGGAAAAAATGATTAATCTATTTAAAAAGTTGGGATATATACATTAATGTCCTAATATTTTCATCAATTTGACAATAAAGTCTTAAATTTTATTTTTTTCATAGTAAAGTCCAAACTACCGGTAATTTTTGAAACATTTACCTTTTTTTTTCGGTAACTGGTAATTAGGGCTTTACTGTAAAAAAAAATAAAGTTTAAGACTTTCTTGTCAAATCATGAATTGGGGCTTTACTGTGAAAAAAATAAAGTTTAGGACTTTCTTGGCGAATCATTGAAAATATAATGATTTTGGTGTGTATATCCCTTTTTTTGTTAGAAATGTAATAGTATGATAGTTTTTAAGAATAAGAATTATTGAAACTTGATATGATTAGCTAGATCTTATTGAAATCGTTAAAGTTTGTTTCTTGTTATATAGTTTTTTTCAATCTCAACAAACCGACACCTAAAAAAATAGAGTTAATCAAGAAAGAAAGGAAAAACCATAGTTGTGCTGGCCTTTTACAATCCAAAAACCGGAGAAATACGAAACCAAAAAAAAAAATTAAACTGCCCTTCTTACCCCTTCTCCACGTTCACACCATTTTGACTAGGCGTGTGTTGTTTGTGTTTATACAATTTGTCCATTCTTTTTAGTTTAAGATTTCGCAGTGAACAAAGAAGAAAGTTTTACAAGTTTTATCATTCTCTCTCGCTCTGCATTTGTTTCCCCTTCCCCTGATCGTGATTGTATCAGGGTAAAGATAATGATGTTAAAAAAAAACAGTAATGTTGCGACGAAAATCACAATTAAAAGTTCTTGCCTCTTGGGCTATGAAAATACATTAAAGTCCCAATATTTTAACGATTTGACAACAAATTTTAAACTTTATTTTTTTGACAGTAAAGTCCTAATCCACGATTTGACAAGAAAGTCCATTTTTTTCTTACAGTCAAGTCGTAATTATCGGCTAACCAGAAAAAAATGGTAAACATGTAAAAAATTGTCAGTAGTTAGAACTTTACTATCAAAAAAATAAAGTTGAGGACTTTCTTGTCAACCGATAAAAATATTATGACTTTTGTGTATATATTCCTAAAAAGTTCATTTATATAGGTTAAATTAACTTTTTTTTTGTGTGTGTGTGTGTGTTAAAGTATATAGCTAAATATGTTAATAACTTATGTACTTATTTCACCAAAAGTCTTAGCAACTCTCACGTAACTTCCAGGCAACTTGCCTTCTAAAGAATTAATACCCAATTCCCAATGGCTTTAAATATCAGCATCATGCCCTTGACGAGAAGCAATAGGGCATTAAAAAATGGAAGAAGTGTCAAGGATGGCCAAGGCCTATTACCATGCAAGCCCGGTCGATCTTCAAAAGTTGTTTATAGGCTTCTTCTGCGCGATGGACGATGATGGCAATGGCAAGATAGACAAAAAAGAGTTTCTGGAGTTCATGAATGACGAAGGGGGTGGCAAATCAACAAAATTTTCCATCTTCAACCTATTAGATGTCGATAAGAATGGAACTCTTGATTTTTATGAAATGATGACAGCCTTTTATATAATTATGAGCGAAAGACCGTTTTGTGATAGTTGTGAAAAGTTTATTACATCTTCGTATTTCACATGTGTCGGGTGTTTGGAAAATCAAATTGAAAGTTCGTTTGATCTTTGCCTCGATTGCTATTATATGAAGAAATGTGTTCACACCCACAACGGTTCTGATCGATTTCTAGACAATCATTCATTGCTTGCTATTACCAAGTCAATAATAAAGGAGGTATTTAATTTAAGATGTAATGGTTGTTTTTTAAATTTTGGATACAAAATATCAAATATAATGACTAGAAACTACTTCATTGACGACTATTTGTTTGTGTCATAGGCAAGTTCCTCGACAGCTATGAAAACAACTTCAGTGGTCAAGGATGCTGGTGGACGTTGTGTGGACGACCCACAACAACAAAAACGGGTGAGTGAGTTATAATACCTTGATTCTAATCAGCATGTCTATGTTCCATATTTGTTTATTGGCATTTGGTTAGTTTATATTCCTTCTTACCTTTTAATATGGTTTATAGAAATGCTTAAATGATTAACATGAGACCGCCATTGTTGTAACTCAAGCTACAACGGTTTTCAAGCTATATTAGTTGATTTGATATATGTTTAGTTAAATTGAGACACAGATTTTTTAAGATATGGGATGCAATCATATCCACTTATTTTTTAGATAAAAAAAATATTCTAAAATGCAAAGTAAACTAAAATTTCAACTTTCATTTTTAATATTATTTTCGTCAATTTTTTTATTAAAAAATAAAAATAAAAATAAAAATTACGTTCTTTATTATATTATAAAAAAATTTAGATTCATTAGAATACTTTAATATTCTACTATATATATTACACTATAATATTCAAATAGAATTATTATCAAATATTCTACAAGAATTATTAAAATATTTTAATAATCTACTACAATTTTTAGAATATATTATATATTCTACACAAATATTACACCTAAAATTCAGGAATATATAAAAAAAAGGTATTTTTTTGGATAAAAAAATGAAAAAATGATAATATTAAAAAAAATCTAAATTATCCATTTAATTTTCATTCTAGATTTATTCTTATATGTTTATTCTTTTCTATATCTATATCGATATATATATATATATATCTATTATATAGAATATATATCTATATAAAGCTATACCTTATTAAATTGGATGCGGTGCACCAGATTACAATAAAACTTACCTACAACAAAACTTACCGCTGCCAAACCGTTGCGAGACTAACAGCAAATTTAATGACATTTTTCTGGTCGTATTCACAATTTAATAGAGAAAACATTATAGCTCCCATTTCTCTGACAATACATTTTAACATATAGTTTTTCATTTTTGTGGCCAAATATACAAAATTTAATCAAAGAAATAGTATTATGTTGTGACAAACTTAACTTTTTCTCATCTAAATTGTAGATCTCTTTAAGAATTGTATCATTTATAAAGACATATTCACAATTTAAAATAAAATATTCACAGTTTAATAAAAAATCAATTCACTAATTCATAGTCTATTCTTTCATGCATGCATCCATTTATATTTTAACATAAAATTTATATAAAATACACAACTTAATATAGTCTATTCTCAGTTTCACATATTTAGAGAAATCAAACTCAAACTTTAAAACCACCAACTACCACACACCACCACCAACCATATGTGCCACTACCATAACCATATTGTCTTCTAAATTATAATTATATATATATATATATATATATATATATATATATATATATATATATATATATATATATATATCAGTCTTACAGGATGACACCAAATAGGATTCATGTAACTTATTTATTAGCATGCAAAAAAATACAAATATGTTCTATCCACAAGGGAATTTGTTCCACCTGTATAAATGTATTAATTCATTTTCTATCCTAATGACTATAACGTAGTTGCAGTGAATATGAGTATGTGTATGGATGTATGTGTGACTTTGTATGTAGCTTCATATGCATCTAATATCACTTATAACATGTTACCTAATTAGATAAACAGTTCATGTGTAACAGAATTACATAAACAGTCCATGTGTACCTTGGTCCACTTACATCCACTCACCTCCCTACTACTTATGTTCTATCCCTGGTTGGTAGTTTTTGTTAAGCCTCCAAACATGCTAGTTTATCAAAGGAAGACTCATAGGGGCAAAATGGTCACAACCACAAGTTAGAGCAGATCGGTTACAAATTTGAGGGGACAAAAATTACTTTTTACTTGATGAATTAAAGTTGGTAAAATTTTATTGTCCACTTTTGAACGATCACAATGATTGAGCTAAAAAAACATAAATTCACATGTAGGGGTTTCGCATGAAAGAGACCATCAACTAAGCATGTATGGTCCCCTATTCCTTTATGTTTTATCACTCAATGATAAATTTTGATATGATGTATGGAAATAAGATCTTAAAAACTTAAAATACACTACTAGAAAACTAAGTAATTACCTACAGCAGAATTTGTAGGAAATCCGTACGAACAAGGCGTTACCTACAGATTTCCTACAAAAAACGGGTTGTAGGAAAAACCCTCGTGGGTAATTTTTTCCTACAAATTAGCTACAAACGTTCCTACGCATTTCCTACGGAATATTCTGTTACAAATTTAACTACGGAATACCTACGGAACACGTTAACTACAGAGTACTTATAGATTACCGGGTTATTTAGCTACGAAACTCCTACAAAATACATACGAATTATTTTCCTACGGAATACCTACGAAATGATTTTCCTACAGAATACCTACCAACTACTTTACCTACAGATTACCTACCAACACTTTTTCCTACGGAATAACTACCAACTGATTTTCCTACAGAATACCTACCAACTACTTTACCTACAGAGTACCTACCAACATCTTTTCCTACGGAATACCTACAGATTTTATTGAATTTTATTTCCCACAGAATACCTACTGAATATTTATTTCCTACAAATTTTCTATGAATTTTTTACCAATTTTTATTGCTATATAAAATTTATAATTCCTACAGAATATTTATTTCCTACAATTCAGTCAAAAATCTATTGCTATATTAAATTTATAATTTAAAAAATATCCAAATTTTCTGCTAAAAAAACCAAATAAATAATTAAAATAATAGTCAAATACCATTACATTCATTAGCATTAAAATAGTCACTAACATACCATTCATACATTCAAATACTCAAAATACCATTACAATACCATTACAAAAGCTAAGAACTAGTCAATAACATAACATTAATTTAGTGTTCTAAAACAAAAACTAAGAACTACTTGGTGGATTACCGGACGGATTGATTTGTTTCATAAAGGCCGCCAATTGTCGTTGCACTTGCCATTCCATTTCATTTCGCATTTGTTGCATTTGCAAATTCATTTCACTTTGCTTTTCATCCATGGCTTGTTGCATGTTTGACATTTGTTGTCGCAACTCATTTACCTAAATATAGCAAGACAAACACATGCAGTTAGTAAATGTAATTCAACTTTAAACCATGATAGCAATGTACTTTACTTTTAATTCAATAATAAAACACACTATTCATAATAACAATGTACATTGTTTTTAATATCCATAATAATAACTTTTAATATGCATAATAATAACATACAATATATTTTTATCCATTATACCATTGTATTTTTACATTTACAATCCATAAGATCAATGTACTTAAATTATTATCAATAACAACAATTTACTTTACCAAATATCAATAATAGCAACATACTATACTTTTCACCCATTATAGCATTATGTTTTACCTAATTTAATAATAGCAACATAGTATCATGTTCAACCATAATAACAATGCACTTTACCTAATATTAATAATGGCAACATATTTCAATTTTCACCCGTAACAACAATGTACCTTACCAATATGAACATATTTTTTTCAGCCATATTAGGTACCTCTTTACTTGATTTTTTTTCTCTATAATATATTATGTAAATAATAGTACCTCCTGTTGTGACTTTGCAAAGTCAGCAGAAGCTGAAGTTGACTCATAAGAATATGCACCCGTCATCAAAAAGTGAAGATCCGAGTATCCTGCCCCATAGATAGGACCTTTTTGTTTCCCGCCTTTCCTAAGCAATTATGTTTGGGTCCACAATTCAGGATCATTCACATTATGTTGAGTCGGATCATCACCATATTTTTTAGATAGGGCTTTGTTATATGATTCCTATAATATACCAAAAGAAAGCTTTTGTTATTGTACTAAAAAGTAAAAACTAATATTAGTAAATATATAAAAAGATAAAGACAACTTATGATCGCCACCCTAGATGTCTCATTCACAAAATCCACTGGCGCCTCTTTATCTCCCCCAAAATATATTTTCTTTGATTCGGCGGTAAGATGTGTCTTATAATAAAGATCAATGAATGAGGGGTCTTCACCCGTCAACTGTTTCTATATAAACGACACAACATAATTGATGTAATTAGTGTTGAAAGAAAAATGTATCACTAAAATCTATAATTATGATTACTTACCAATTTAAGACGGTGCTCCTCAAATCCAATGCTACCACCCGTATGTCTCCTGCAACTCCTAATCATAATAAATTTGGGGGTAGAATTGTCAAAGGTTTGACATACAAGGTAAAAAAAGGATCTCAAGAAACTATGACTTTGGAAGTAGGTTGCTGTAACAGACTTTTGAAACATGTTTCATTTGTTGTTTCAGATGTCCAAAGTGAACCATGGTTTGGATCACAGTATAAAGAGGAAAGTATTCCTCCATCCATGTTGGAATCATGGAAGAATCCTCCAGAAATAGATGTTGCATTACATCTACCTGCAATGAACGAATTCATTCCAAAAGAGTTCTCCATTCGTGCAAACGGTGTAATGTGTTATTTCGGAGATGCATCTCCTCCGGAATGCATAATTGATGAGCCATTGATGAAGTTCTGGTACAAGCTCGATAAGCCATTAAATGGAATTCTCCATCTCACCACCAGTAGTAACTAGTAAGGCCGATTTCTGATCCAAGCATAAACATGGAGACCAAACAGGTGTTTGATGGAACTCCTCCTCCTACTTTACTGGATGATTCTAAGCAACAAGCGAGTCTTGAGAAATCTAATATATTGTGGGGGTTCAAAATGGTTCAAATCATGGCCAAAAGGTTGACAATCACAAGACGTTTAATATATTGATAAGGGGGAGAAGAAACCGAAATCACAGAAATCGACAGGTTACAAGTATGGAAAGCACAATTGAAATCACAGAAACTGAAATTGATTCTCTAGGGGAAAAATTTGTGAAATGTGAGCAAACTGAAATCGACATACATACATACCTGGGGTGTCGTTGATGGTGGTGTGGGGCAGCAACGGTGGTAGTATGGTGCAGCGACAATTGTGGTGCGACGGAGCGTCGGCGGTGGTGTGCGATAATGACAGCCGGAGGCAGGGACGGTGGCGGTATGAGGAGGTCGGTGGTGGTGAGCGACAGCGACAGCAACAGCAACAACCGGAGGTCTGGAACGGTGGGTCGGCGGAAGTGTGCAGGAACAGGGGTGGGGAATCGCCGGTGTAAGGCTAGGTTTTTGTTTCAGAACCAATCTGTGCGATGAGATGAGGAGGGAATTGAAAAATTGGTTTCTTTTTCATTTTGTCAAAATTTTCATATATCGGGCCTTTTTTTTTTAATTCCAAATGGTTAAATCATATTTAACTAGCAATTGTATTTAAAAATTTTATTATAATAGTTAATATAAAATTCAGTTTTATATAATGTTTCTTTGATATATTTAACTAGCAATTATATTTAAAAAATTTATTATGTGTTAAAAAATTGAAACAAAAAAAAAACATTTTTGGATGGTTAAATCAAATAAATTTAAAAATATCATAGTTAATATATCAGTTTTATATAAGGTTTTTTTGATATATTCAACAGACAATTATATTTTTAATTTCATTATGTGTTAAAAAAATGAAACTAAAAAAAACATTTTTGAATGGTTAAATCAAATAAATTTCAAAATATAATAGTTTATATAAAATCAGTTGTATATAAGTTTACTTTGATATATTTAACTAGCAATTATATTTTTAATTTTATTATGTGTTAAAAAATGAAACGAAAAAAAAAACATGTTTGGATGTTGAATTTAATTTAATAAAACTAAATTAAATCAAAATTTCAAATATCATGGTTAATATAAATTCAGTTTTATATAAGGTTTCTTTGATATATTTAACTAGAAATTATATTTTTAATTTTATTCTGTGTTAAAAAATGAAACTAAAAAAAACCACTTTTGGATGGTTAAATCAAATAAATTTAAAAATATTGTAGTTAATATATGAGTTTTAAATAAGGTTTTTTTGATATATTTAACTAGCAATTATATATTTAATTTTATTATGTGTTAAAAAAATGAAACGAAAAAAAAAACATTTTTGGATGGTTAAATCAAATAAATTTCAAAATATCATGGTTAATATAAAATTTAGTTTTATATAAGGTTTCTTTGATATATTTAACTAGCAATTATATTTTTAATTTTATTATGCGTTAAAAAAATGAAACGAAAAAAAAAAAAAAAACATTTGACACTCAAATAATAGAAAATACAAAAACTACCGTAGGTAATCTGTAGGTAATACCTACGGATTGCCTACAGATAAAGGTAATCTGTAGTTAATCCGTAGGCATTTACCTACAGATTGCCTACGATATTTCTTAATTTTTCGATTTTAAAAGGTCAAATATAGTTTTTTTCGTTTCGTTTTTTTCACAACTTAATTATACTTTGATTGCTTTGTTTTAACCAATTTATACATAATATAAACTTACAAACAAACGTATGCATCATTAGAAACCATTACTATATACATAATAAACAAAAAGCTATCTATGTTTGTCCTTAAGCCACAATTAACATCATTAAACAAATACATGATATACTAAACATAATACATACATATGGTGTGTATGTACATGTGTGTACTGATTTCTATTTGTGTTTAGAAAATAACATTGATTTAAAAAAAAAAACTTCTAAATGAGTAATGGGTTCTAATGGTGCATACGTTTGTATGTAAGTTTATGTTATGTATAACTCGGTCAAAACAAAGCAATCAAAGTATAATTAACTTGTGAAAAAAATAAAACGAAAAAAAACGACATTTGACCGTTGAAAAATAGAAAAATAAAAAAAGACCGTAGGTAATCTTGTTGGATTAGTGTCTAAGGCTGTAACTATATTTGGTAAGCACTTGACCCGGTTATGCATGGTCCTTTTGGGTTGCCTTCACCATAGCAACTTGACAGGATGATTTGTTAAGAGAGAAGAGATATTATTAATATATATTTAAGGAATAATAATATTATTTGATTAATATAAGTCATATATTAATTGAGAATTAATTTGGTGACTTAAAGAGGTTAATTGAATAAAGGGCATAAACTGTCAAATTGTGTGATAGTTGTATTTGAGCTATGTATCCTTATGGATATTGGGGTGGACGAAATTTAGGGTTTGGGAACCTTAAATTCGTCCAAGCCTTGTATCTAGAAGGATCTTGGATTGCTTAGGGCCTAAGTCATTCAATTAGGGTTAAAGGAGAAACCCTAATAGCTCATAGTATAAATAGGACCCTTGGGGTGGAGAAATCGGCACTCTTGCAAGCCAAGGAACCTAGGGCCGATTTCTATCCCCTCCCTCCTCTCTCAAGATCATCTTCTTGCTAGTTGGTGTTTGTAAGCCATTAGAGGAGTGACAATTGTGACTCTAAGCTCCAAGAAGAAGAAGTATCAAGCAAGTAATTCAAGGTTCTTTCAGATCTGATTTCATATGATTAGATTCAATATATTACATTAGATCTAGTATTGCAAGTCTTGGATTCAATGCATGTTCAATTAGAGAAACCTAGATCCAAGCAATTAGGGTTTGCATGTGCACATAGGAAAGTTCTTATGGCTCAAACCCATCAGTGGTATCAGAGCTTTGATTGATTTCTATTGAATTGATGCATTGGTTGATTGCTTGTTGCTTGAAAAAATTCGATTTTGTGATTCTGACTGCTGTACTCAGCGAGTTCCTCTGTGGACTCGGCGAGTAGCTCCAACTCGGCGAGTCCATAGAGGTACTCGGCGAGTTCGAGCGTCAGAAGGAGGAAGTTTCGGGATTTCTTGCTATTTTACTTGAGGATACTTGCCTTAACTGTTTTGGGTCATTAAAATCCGATTTTAATCATATATATGAGTATATTCTTGACCTAACAAAAGATAATTACCAATTAGTGAATATAATAATTTCCTTATATGATAATTGTTGATTATTGAATTGAATTGGTAAATTGTTTTGCAGAAGTAACATTAAATAAGATCAAATTGAGATAATCTAATTAGATAATTTTATTATTTGCTATTTGATCCTTATGCTTTGAAAAAGTTCAAAGACTTCTCCTCAAGCTTTGAAATTTTAAATTTGTGATTAAAAGTTTAATTTGGATAATTTTAAATTCAATCCCTAGAATTTTACAAGTTTAAAATTCAACCCTATACTATTATATTATTACAAGCTTAATATATATATATATATATATATATATATATTATATATATATATGTATGATTTACAATGCTAGTCTTACCGTAGTAGGCCTCATTCACGAAGCCGGTCTATAAGGTGGGTATAAGGTTGCTGCCTATAAAATGGCGCTTAATGGGTGTACATTCACACCCACCGCTTGCTTGACTGGTGGAGGGTCGTTAGCCGAACGGTAGGATAGGATAGGGCAAAACCTCCTCTCATAATAAGTATAATGAATCTATATAAAGTAACTAAACATGTTTATAAAATTCTCAATCTTAGTTACTTTAGGAGGAAAAGTGAATTGATGTAATCCCATGAAACTACACTTTGCACCCTTGCTAAGACATTAATGGAGCGCGTGTGGTTAGCCGGCACATTAATTGGGCTCTAAGCAAAGGTGGCAAAGGGTGACTCATTGTTTGTTATAGTTCAATGGAGCGTGTGTGGTTAACCAGCCCATTGAATAGGTAACTGTAACAGTGGGGGCGCCTTATACATTTGCATGGTTATTCACACCCACTTTGTGATCCTCGGCATCCCAGTCACAAACGAGAGGGGCATATCGAGATTTAAACATGTCATTGAAAGGTTCAATGAATCTCAAAGAAATCTAGGAATTCTCAATACATTTAAAAACTTAAAGCTTATGTTTTTTATGGTGAAGAATTAGTGAATCGTCATTCACTTACCTCAAATTATTTGCATATTAGATTACGGCCTCCCTTTTCTAATGTGTAAATAACGTTGTTGGGTCCTAGCCCTAATTTTTCATTTTGGGTGTTAATTAGGGGACTTAATCTAATCAAATTTGTTCTTTCTATTTGTAGATGTCTAACACAAAACCTCAAGCTGCTAGCTCATTTCCTCTAATGAGCCTTTGTCAAAAAGTGACATTCGATGGAACGAAACTTTAGCGAATGGATATAAGATACATTCGCACCATCGCGCACTACGAGGACAAAGAGTATGTTCTCGATGAGAAGCTCGAAAAGATCAATCCAGACAATGCTACTCCTGAAGAAAATGGTTGTCTTTGAGAACCATGAGCGTGATGCAACGAAGGTCCATTGCATCATGATAGCCACAATGAACACAGAATTCCAAAAGTCCTATAAGGACATGTATCCTTATGAGATGCATTTAGACTTGATGGAGAGGTATCACCCAAAGCGCGAGGCAAAGAGCGCTATGAAATCAAACGAATATGATTACTGCTAAAATGGGAAGTGGAGAGTCTCTTACTGTGCACTTGCAAAAGATGCAAAGGTATGTGATCGTCTTCGCAAGTTGAATGTCAACTTTGGGGAAGATTTGGCTATCGACATTGTTTCTTCACTCCTTGCCCTCATGCTACAACCAATTTAGGATGACCTACCACATGAACAAGGAAGAGGTCACCCTAAGCAAACTCCAAGGGCTCTGAGGACTGCTGAGAGCAACCTCAAGGACAAGTCTGTTGCACCAAACTCCCAATCCACCCGTTGCTCTGTTTGGCTATTGGACAGGGAAGGGGCAAGAAGAGGAAGGCTTTTTCAAAGAACCACCACAAGGAAGTCCCAAAATGGTTCCTTTCTAGTGGGACCAAGGTTGATCCTGCTAAGCCCAACCCAAACCCAAAGGAGGCAGAGTGCCACCATTGCCACAAAATAGGGCATTGGGAGAAGAGAAGCTGCCCGGAATATCTGCAGCCATCAAGGAGGGGAAGATCAAGCCATCTTTCGCAGGTATTTACACAATTAAATCTAATGATTCATCTCATGCTCTTTCTTGTGTTCTGATTAGGGTGTGGTTACCACATTTGTTCTGATTTGCAGGGACTAGGAAGAAATAGGGATGTGAGCTTGGAAGAATAAATTTGATCATGGGAAACAGAAGAACGTCGCCTGTCACCCAAGATTGGAGTGTCTTCTTTAGAGCTTAGGAATGGTTTGAATTTAGAATTAAATAATGTTGCTACTTGCCAGATATGGCAAGAAACATCATTCTTTTCATTGTTTATTTAGACAAGGATTTAGATATTCGTTTAATA